ATGAACTCACTGAAGACAGGCGTGAAGTGGAGTTACTAACTTTCGCGTTTCGTCTGGTGAATGAAGTACGTAAGATTGGCACCGGTTCAACAACGTGTTACAAAATACATAAAGTAAAACATTAATTAATAAAGTATTATTAATTGTTTACGTTCATGCTGTCAATTACAAAAACATAATAGTCTCTTATTGTTCCCAAACACTTGCACAAAATAAAGATAACTAGTGTAAGAATTTTTTAAAATGTCAAATGACCAAAGGTTCTAAAAAATATATTCATTAATTTAAATTGAGTCGTATTTCGGACCAATGGGTGACAACTTAGATTATATAGAGATAGATTTTTCCTTTCATATTTGGCCTTTACTTTCGGTTTAGCATTCATTTTTCAAATGAATTACATTACGGACGATGAATTAAAATGATAATCGAATTATACGTTAATTTTATTTACTTACATAGTTTTAATAATTTCGATTTTTAATGCTTTTAGACTCCCGGAGAAGAAAAACCACAGTGTTATGCGCACGGTAAATACAAATTATTAACTACAAATTTATCTGCGACCGATAAAATTTCAAATTGATTGATGAATTGATTGTAATTTCTGAACCAATGCTTTTACGGACCACACTAACACCCTTCATATATTAAATAGTTAATATGCCAAATTTTGAAATAATAATTATGATTTTAAAAAGACGAGAAAAACGCGGTACATAGAATCTTCATATATGTATTTACCATATTTATTGCAATTTCACTTCCGTACCTTACCATGTTCTTGATTGTTTTCTGCTCTATACAAATTTTGCGATTGAATTTAAATCGTCCGGATAAAATAGAAACTAAAAAATAAAAACTGTACAGCCGTGATAGTTTTCTTTCGGCACAAGCAACGTTTGAGACAAGTTTCAGTTAAAATCGTAACAATGGCAAAGTTTTCACGTATGTTATTGTTGTTTTCTTCATCATTTTTTATTTTGTTAATAATACTCATGGCGAGTAAAGAACTATAGGCGAGGAAAGAGTGTTTTCTTCGTTCGCTAGTTCAAATTCATGAGTTTCTTCGTTAAAAAAGTAATTTTATGTATAGTATCCATGGATTCCGCCATTTTGCTAGAGATACTAATAAAAATAGATAAATGCAGTAGTATCACTGAGAACCAACTCGTCGCTGCGTGTGCTCGCGCGCGACCCCCTTTACAAAAGGCGTCCGAATGTATCACATTGCCCGGCCAAAAATAAGGAAGTATTCATACTGTCCAAGTGATAAATTCAAATTATTGATTTTTTTTAATAAACCACAGGCTATCTTATATTATTAATATCGGCCGGTCAAAGTAATAAATTAATCAATTTGACCGATGCTATTGGGCACTATTCACAATGAACGGTCCATATTAATACATCCCGAATACTCGAGTTGCTCGGAACATTTACAACGATGGTATTACAAGGAATATCGTTTTTACACTAAAATATAAATATTATCATCATTTTAGCCTGTCTAAGTGTGAGTTGCGAGAAGTTAGACTAACTTCTTGCTGAACATAGGCTTTCCCTGCTTCGAAGTACGGTATAATAATATAAGTAATAAATAAAGGTAATGACGTTTTTCAGCGTTTTACTCAGATGATGGAAATCTAGAAGACCCTATAATACTGGCGCAGAAAACAACTGCCGATGAACTTAGGACTTACCAATATTTTTACGTCTTCATGTTTGAAGTAAGGAGAATTTATAAAATAGGACGTCAATTCGCTGATACCTCACGCTGTTTTATAAAACTAATTTACCAGTTATATCGTGGTTAATTTCGTTTCCCCTCATTTTCGCTCTTATGTTCTATTGGTAAAATATGGTTGGTTATAATGGTTATGTTGGTAAAATAGTTTTTTTTAACACAAACTTACTTACGTTTGTGTAAAGTTAAATAACCGATAATAATAATTCTCTATTTAATATAGCTTTTGGATTATTTCTTTACTTACCTATATATACTAAAACCTTAAAAAATTGTAAAGTTTGATGATAGTTTTATTTATCTAACAATATTTTGGTAGGTATATTAAGGGTGGTTTGTTTTTAACCAGCTATCTACCTTTTATATTAAATTAAATTTAATAATTATTATTTGCAGCACGTTATGATATCATGTTTTGAAATAGCGCAATATCTATTTTCAAATGACTACAATTTTAAAGAATTATTGAGAAAATAAAACCGAATTTTGGATATGAATGAGTCTTCAGCGAGACACGGCCAAAATCACAAGTGAAAAAGGGGCTTTTAGTAAACGCAAAATATAAAAATTATTTTGCATATAAAAATTGTTTTGTCTTTTAAATTTAATTGTTCAATACTAATAAATAATACAAATTTATGTATTTTTTTTTAATTGTTACGTAATATAGGACCTCATATATTATGGTGTTGGTCTGTAATTACAATAAATACCTATTTGATTTTTAAACAAATAAAGGCTTATTTCAGATGCTTATTTCTAATTATAAAATTTGATACCCTTTAGCGATTCTTGAACTTGAATAATAATTATGTAAGTACCTAACTGTTTTTAATAAAAATTAAAATAACGTTATTTTAATTTTTACAGATAGACGTAAGCTATTTATGATATCACATAGTTTATGTAACTTACCTACTAAATAATTTATAAACGGCTACTGGAAACTGTTGTAATGCTCTTCAGTTGCTAAAACAATATCTAAGGGCTGGCTATCACTCTTACCCATACATAACCCAATATACTCTTGCTATGAAGGAAAGACATACTATGTTGAAGAATATCTTCTAAAAAGTTATTGATTTTTTTATAAGTAAACATTAACTTTGTCAATAGCGGTATATTTATGATGTAAATTGGTGTTTGAATAATTAAATTTATTTGAATATGTTTTGAATAATTATGAAAGTTAGAACGTACCGACAAAAAAAAAATATATTATTATTATTTTTGAGACACAATGCTCCCGTACCTACATTATGCGAGATGGGCGAACCTAATTTTTTAGAGCTATTTTGCCTATTTTGCCCTAGCAAAATATTCTAATCACCCCTTGCTTCATATCTTTTCTCAACAAATTATGAATAAAGTCTGGGTAAACAACATATGAAAATAAAATAAAAAACACGTAATAAAATAAAGAAACCGCCTATATAGCATTTTCAAAGCATTGACACAGTAGGATCCGCATAAAATAACGGTCAAGGGACCGGCGGTATTATGTCGTAGTAACCGGAAAACGCACCAAACGAACGAATAATTTAAGCTTATTTTAAACTTATTTACCATGCAGTACATAATTTAGTTACATAGATTTATTTCTATTTAAATAAAACTATAGATCGAACATTGAAACCAGCCGTAAAGATACATGCGAATTTCGTTCAATGTTAGTTGGATCTGGATCATGAGGGTTCCACCATTATGTTAATGGCTAGTTACAAAGCAGCACAATTTACAAACACTAATTACAAACCAAAGACAATAGGAACGAAACTATACAAATTTTAATTTAAAATAAGTCAGCAGGACTAGAGTAAATAAAAAAATGTGCAGCTAGAAGTTTGCGCCGAAGATCCTGAGTGCAGTAAGTCCGCCCGGCGAAATAGCGAAGGGCCGAGGTCGTGAGCAAAGCGAGCCGATGAGGTCCGTAGTGGCAGTATATTTATTATTAATAAATGTAATGTTTTTTTTGATAAACACTTCCTATTTTTATACATTAACTGCTTGTACGGCATTATTTAAATCTTTTGAGACAATTTTAAAATATAAATGTAATACGGCAAGATTGTCTATATTTCATTTAATTTCAATTTTCAAATTCCTATTGAATAAATTATTACCTCACGTTTAATACTTTCATTTGTAATTTAATATTAAACCATTAATTTATAAACACAAAAAAAAAAGACTTCTTTCGCCCTCTGTCTGTTTTATAAATGTGACATATAATTGAAAATTTTATTATAATTAAATTTTGTTAACTTTATTTAATTATTAAAGTAAAGTAACTTTAGTTGATTCCATTAATATTTCACATGCTATTTATAAATTAACATGTAGTTCAATATTAATAACTCCTCCATGTTGTATTTTAGAAATGGATAGTAAGGACGAAGCATGAAAATGAAAAATATCGGTTTTGGATACGATTTCGATATTCAATTTATTATAACTATATATCAGCTAAAAATATCGATATTTTAGAATAAATATATCGATGTTTTTTCGACATCCGTACTACCCAATCCAGGGTAGAATTTTGTACTATAATTATAGTACTATGATATATATGTAGTATATACTATCCATATCTAAGGATAGTACGAAAACGTACTATAATTTCATTATTTTAACTAAATGACCAATATTATACCATTCACTGTCAATCCAACATTAAAAGAAGTTCTTTGGTTTGTAATCACGTTGTAATTCTATCGAACAATAGAAAGCTTTTTTACCACTTGTCTATATCATTGTCTATTATTAACATAGAATATAAATAGTTGTCATCGATGAACAATTAACGGGGACTTACCGTGAATGGTACTTTTTTTACGATACTCCGCTTTCTCAAACAGTCACTTTGCACATTGCAATCAATTCAGTATGTAATAGAGTTCAATATTGTCTAATATTATAATTAATTTATTGTTTTTTGTGCATTAATTATGAAAATAATAGTGTACAATATATGTTTTGTCAAATACTATCCTTTTGAATTTTATGTAGCTTTTTTACCACACCTAAATCCAACCCTGACCCTAACTCATGTCAATGTCATAATAATTTTCTCTATTTTCTCGTGATTATTCGGTGACAATTGGCTATTTCGAAATAATATAATTAATTCGTGCTTTAGTTTCACGAAAATTAAAAAGTTGGGTTCGATCACGAGATTTAATTAAATATATACGCTTAAGTTTTGGAAAAATTTCATCATAATTTCTCGGTTATGTCTCATGTCACAGATATGAAAGTTCTTTTTACTAGGTTGTTTTCTGTTAAAAATGGGTAAGCAGAATTTTTTCTGACAAAAAAATAACAAAATATAAATATTTTATAAGTACTTAAGATTACTCCAAATAAAGGAAATAAACAGAATATTATATTTATTGTACTGTAGGATTTTGTTTATATTTGGAAAATTTTTTGGTGTCCAATTGTTCTAACATAACAAGGATTTTCTGGCTATGAAATATTTACAAAATCGAGCCGCACACACCCCAACGAATTACAGAGACAGCTGTGAATTTCAGTTTAAAAAGTTTAATTTTATGTATTAAAAATATTGTTTCCTTAAAAATTACAGTAGTTTTTAAGGTAAATGTAAATAACTTTAACTCCGGCGTAATTCAATTAAAATAAATTTTAAACGTTAGAGATAAATCTCTAATGAATTAATCAACAAGCAGAATTCGGCGGTCGCTTATAGTTTTCGAGAAAAAAAATATTTAAAACTTGTTTTTTGTACTAAGAAATCCACCATTTTATTTGTTTGACTTCAAAAACTCAATACACAGTTCTGCCAATATGATAAATATAGGAAGCGGGCGACGTCATACACGTATCGATATTCCGATTTTATTAATTTAATGAATCACAGAACCGACACAGAGCGAATCCGACTCGGATAGGTTAGGTTAGAAGGTTCAGGGAGCGGAGGTCCCGCCTTAACGTTCGATGTTAGGTTTTTTTTTTTATGCCACCAAGAAATACGAGCTGAATTGACATATTGACAACAAAAAAATGGCGGATTTCTATAGTAAAAATCACACTATTTCATTATTTATTTTTTCGAAAACTAGAAGCGACCGCCGAATTCTGCTTGTTGATAAATTCATAAGTGATTTTTCTCTATCGTTTAAAATTTATTTGATTTGAATTACGCCGGAGTTAAAGTTATTTACATTTACCGTTTTTAATTCCTACTTATGTCATAGATTAAGCAATATTAAATGGAGTGCAAGAAATTTTAGTAAGGATTGTGATAAAAGTACACAAACCTTAAAAAATAATGTTACACCTCTACCGCCATTATCGGAACCTATGCCAAATCTACCACCTGTGACTTACTCTTCAGCTAAGGCTGAAGATTCTTATACTGAAGTAACTGTATTGAGTAATGGTTTAAGAGTGGCATCAGAAAAGAAATTTGGGCAATTTTGTACTGCAGGAGGTATGTTACATGTAATATGTTCCATAACATGCAATTTATTTTTATATACCACTAATAAATTAAAAGAAACTACTTTATCTTACTTAAAATTTTAGTTGTAATAGATTCTGGACCAAGATATGAGGTGGCTTACCCAAGTGGCATCTGTCACTTCCTTGAGAAATTGAGTTTTGGTGTAAGTTATTTGTATAAGTGTATTTATTTAAATAGGCTTTTAGACAATTAAAAAAGCAATGCCTGTATTTTTTATATTTCAGGCTACTCATAAATTTCCTACACGGGATGTGATGCTGAGAGAATTAGAGAGACACGGTGGAATTTGTGACTGTCAAGGATCCCGTGATACTACAGTCTATGCTACTAGTGCAGATTCCAGAGGGCTTAAAGCTGTCACTCAGGTCTGTCTACAATAATATTATAAACTTTGTGATTAAAAGTAATAGATAAACCTTATTATGTCACATAAGTAAAGCATATACTCCTCATTGATGAAATATCTTTATTTATAATATTTCAGGTATTAGCTGAAGTGACATTGAGACCACAGTTGTCTACAGATGAAATTGAAGCTGCCCGGCAAGCAGTTGCATTTGAATTGGAAACATTGTCTATGAGGCCAGAGCAAGAAACAATTTTAATGGATATGATTCATGCTGTATGTTTTCAATCTTCAATATTTAATCTTTCTAATTTAAAACATCTAAATTAATTCAGGATGCTCATCACTGTGGTATGCCATGCAGCAGCTTCAGTTGTTTATTTATTTATTTATTTATCACCTACAAAGTACACACCAGATGAACCACGTAATTACTTGACTAGTTTCACAAAAAAATAATACTTATTTATTTAATTTATACATTATAAAAAAACATATTTAATGAATTTAATTTTATTTCATATAGGCTGCTTATAAAGAAAATACCTTAGGTTTACCAAAAATATGTCCAAAAGAAAATGTTTATAAGATAGATAGAGGAATTATTCTTAATTATTTGAGGAACCACTACACACCTGATAGAATGGTTGTTGCAGCAGTTGGAGTAAGTAATTGTTTTTTACCTATATATTATTAGATAGTTTTATTTTTGATTTATTTTTCACACAAACATTATTTATTTGAATTTGTGTTTCCTCTGTGTTATGATCCCTTGCACCTAAAACCCTTCTCCATCTCAGTCATCCAATGTCTTTCCTGCTATCTTTATGATGTCGTATAAACATCTTTTTCTTGGCCTTCCTACACATCTTTTTCCTGATGAGCTTCCTAGACATTTTGTTACTTGGAGGGTCCACCTATTATCCTTGTATCTGGCTACATGTCCAGCCCATCCCCATTTCTATTTTAAGCTAAACTGAAACGTCAGTTTGGTTTTTTGATCGATGACAGTGTTTCTAGTTTAGTGAATTCTTCTTAGTTTTAAGCAGCTTCTTTAAATTCAATGTTGACAGGATAGGATTTTGTTTCCATAGATCATACTTTTAGGCTGCCATAGGTCATACAAGGGAGGATGCAAGAATTAATCACTATTTTCTTTGTTTTTGGTGCACAATTTCCTTTTTGGATTTCTTTATGGGCCCAGTATTTTCTCCAGGTTTATTTTACTCTCCTATCTACTTCGTTTTCATTACTGTTAACATCGAAAGATATTATTTTGACCACATACACATAGCTATCTACATATTCTATCATCATTCCTTCTATTATTATGACTTTATATGACTATTCATCATAACTTTGGTTTTTGACGCGTTCATGTATAGACCAGCTTTTTAACTTTCTTAATTTAGCCTCTGTAGCATAACTTGCAGGTCATTAGCAGTATCAAGTCATTGGCGTCGTGGATAGTCTCTTGCGTCGAAGGGTGTGGGTATGATCCCCACTCCTGGAAAAATATTGTGTGTTGAGGATAGTGTTTTTTTAGTGTGTGCAATTTATTATATTTAAATATGTAATTATTTACAAAAGAAAAGTATGTTTATCAGTTACCTAGTATTCACACTATAAACTGTGCTTAGTTTGGGGCTAGATAATTTGTAAAAATATGTCCCGAAATATTTATTTTAAAAACATTAATATAAACTCATAAAATAACATTAATTTTCGTACAATTTTCAGGTTGACCATGAACCTTTTGTTGAATATGTACAAAAGTATTTTGTTGATATGAAACCTATGTGGATGTCTGAAAACAGTAATTCTTTTACACCTAATGTTGATAAATCTATTGCTCAGTACACGGGTGGCATAGAACAGGTAAAATAATTTTAGCTTACAGTTATGTGTAATTTGGTTGTCTATTTCCAAATCAGATTTCAAAGAATTACAACTTTACAGGATGAATGTGAAGTGCCCTTGTATCCAGGATCTGATTTACCAGAATTATCTCATGTAGTTATTGGAATTGAAAGTAAGTTAAAAGATTTTAATATTGATCAGATTATAAGTTTGCCATTTTTCGTTTTGATGTTGTATCATTCTTTTCAGGTTGCTCCCACAGTGACCCTGATTTTGTAGCAACATGTGTTTTAAATATGATGATGGGTGGTGGTGGATCATTTTCAGCAGGTGGTCCTGGAAAGGGCATGTACACTCGTCTTTACACCAATGTTCTTAATAGGTAATATCAAATATATAGAATATATATATTTGATATATATGTATATATATATATATATATATATATCAAATATATATATTCTATATATATATAGAATATATATATTTGATATATATGTATATATATATATATATATATAAATATGCTAGCTGCTGCCCGCGACTACGTCTGCGTAGAGGGGTGAAAATTTAGGGTTGTATGTATTTTTGTATGCTGTATCATAAAAAAATAAAAACAAAAAATTTTGTCCAAAAATGAAATAAAAAATGTGAAGGGCTTATCACTTAGGGTTATGATAAATAGATAGTAGCCGATTCTCAGACCTACTGAATATGCATATAAAATTTGGTAAAAATCAGTAAAGCCGTTTCGAGGAGTATGGCAACTAACATTGTGACACGAGAATTTTATATATATTATAAATATTTAGTTATGATATTTTTAACCGACTTCAAAAAAGGAGGAGGTTTCTCAATTCAACCGTATATATTTTTATTTTATTTTTTATGTGTGTTCGCGGATAACTTCTTTTATGTTTATTTGATAATGAACCGATTTTGATGTTTATTTTTTTGTTGGAAAGGAGATATCCCAAGGGTGGTACCATGATAAGGAAACCCGGATCTGATGATGGCATCCTAGATAATTCAAGGGCAATCGTCAAATGTTATAGTTATCAACAATGTTTTTAGTTACCCATTTGAATTCGGGTTTTTTTTTTTTTATTGAAAATTTTACTTGTATGTTTAGTAAACATTTTGAAGTAAGTTAATTTATAGATCAATTATCAACTCTACCCTTGAAAATGCCTATTAATTAATGTAATTCTGAAGGAATTATTGCAATTGTTTTATAGCTTACATTATTAATGGTTTTTTTTTACTCAAAGTAACCTTATCTTACACTTACTGAAAGATAAGGTTATTTTGAGGTTAACCAATTGTGGATCCCAACTGAAAAATAAATATTTCAGATCATTATTTCTATGATCTACTAAATAATGATCACATGCTGAAATATACGCATGACTCCCTGCGCCAACTGGAGGTAACAAGTGCTTTTAACCTGTCAATAGATATCATTGGATGTTTAACGCAACTGCGTACAATCACGCTTACGGTGACACCGGCTTATTCTGTGTCCACTCAGCATCACCACCAAATCGCATTTATGATACAACACTTGTCATTGCTCGGGAACTCTCTAATATGGCAGGCAAAGTTGGAGAATCTGAATTACGGGTAAGTGTTTTTAAATAACAAATGTTAAAAATTGTTTTAAATGAGTCATTTCTATATTGCTTTATGTAAATTACAATTTCAAAACATGTTCAATTATTTAAATGAAATCATTATTTTACTATATAATTCTCAAACATACAAATAACTGATATTCACTTAGTAACAACAGATGGCATGATTATTTTTATCAAAAATAATGATCCCCTGATGAGTGGTATTGACTTATTTATTTCATCATTTATTTAGCTAAAAAAACAAATTTGATACTCAACAATATTGGACAAGGAAAATGTACTGTTTATTACTGTAAAATCTTTATCCAAATTATCTTGACCCAGAATAAATTTTAAAATATTTTATTGATGCTAAAATGAGAGGGCCCTATGGTAAAAAAATGATAATTGTACATAAAGAATAAAAATAACATTTAATTTACTGCCAATATAGAGAGCCAAAACTCAGCTTCAGTCAATGTTACTTATGAACTTAGAAGCAAGGCCTGTAGTGTTTGAGGATGTTGGACGACAAGTATTAGCCACTGGCAAGAGGAAGCCACCATCATATTTCATCAATGAAATTGGTAAGTTGGCAATGATATCTAAAATGACTAAATAGCTGTAACTAATTTGGTTTAAATCAAGTGTTAAAGTTTTTTTTGTTGTCTACTAAAAAACGATAACAACCTTTTAAATTGTAATTTCTGATATAATTATTATGAATAATATTGAAACTCTTTATGAAGCAATGCATAACATCTAATAAAACACTTTATTCTTTGCAGAAAAAATAACAGCAGATGATATTGTGCGTATTGCAAAAAATATGCTAAATAAACGGCCAGCAGTGGCTGCTCGGGGCAAACTAACGCATTTACCCACTTTCGAAGAAATACAAGCACATATGACTTTGAATAAAAGTGATTCTTCCCCACAAGGACGTCGCCTCAATCTTTTCCGAGCATAAAGACAAAAACTTCGTGTTCTAGTTAAATTATACATTAAAATTATTTTGGTCAATGTTTAGTAATAAAATTTTATTTATGTGTTTGCTTTTTTATTTTACATTCAAATGTAATGAATGAATACCTATGATATAATCTAATAACGAGAAACTAAAAAATATACCTAATGAATTCAAATAAAAGGGCAAGAGTTTTTAATTTTTTTATTTCTAGTAGTCTATGGTTTTAATTATTAAACTAGGGTGTTGAAAATATATCTATATATCGATTTTTGATTATATATATATCGATATTTTCAGCCGATATGTTTGGATCCGACATATCGGTATAAAATATTCTATATCGAAAATCTTATCAATAACTATATTTTTAAAAATTTTAATTGACACAGAGACCATAGATTGTCAAATATCGGCAGGCATGGGGGGTTCTGTCGCGCAATATGTATGTATGGGTTTCGTGACGTGTGCGTGCCAATTGCACCGGCACAGCACTATGTAGTAGAGGAGGCCTAAAAATGGCCTTTTTAGGCCTAGTCGCACCGGGGTCGCGGAAGTTTGCGGCCACGTATTCCCGTGTCCCCGGCCGATGCGATAGAGACAGGTGAAACGTGTTTTTTTTGCGGGTACCCGTTTCTTACTGGGACTCGCACATACCCCTGCCACTCCCCCAATCAAGCGGCAGAGGATCCATAAAGGATTTTTCCCACGGGAAAAAAAGGGCTATATCCGATATATCGAGGCCAATATCTGGTTTTATTTTTAAAATATGTTTGATAGCAATTACGTCTCATTCCTATCTCTTGCTTTTTGTGAGAAGGTGGCGAGCTGGCGGTTCACGTAATGTTACGTTATAACCGCCGCCCATTGACATTTGCAACACCCGTAGGGTTGCAGATGCATTGCCACCTGTAATAAAATGAGCCCCGGCCACTACAATCACCAGACGAAATGCAGAAGTATGACACTTCCACTTCACGCCGGTCTTCTGTGAGGTGGTACTTACCCGGATGGTCCTGTCCAGACATGCAACAGCCGAAGCTGTTGCGGTACCCTATCACAGTTTACTTTGTTAACTGTTATTAAACATTCGGCATTTCCTGTCCTTAGTGCTTTGGTGTGATATAAATCCAATGTTAGTTTTACGCACAATGGAATGTCGCATCTGCCTTTATTAATCATACCAACAAAAGCTGCATGTTTTGAAAGCTAGTGCTTTGTTTGTCCTTTATCCGTTCCATTGAATCTAGGAGTGTAAGGACAAGTGCTCTGGTGTTTGCGCGAACTCGAACTGTTGTTTTTAAGATATGATGCTTAAACACAATACACATTAAAAACAACAAACTTTATTTCCCTTTACATTATAATTTAATTAATCTATATTAATATTTAATATAAACATAAAAAAATGGGAAAATACAATTATACCATTGCATACATGATACAATTAGTAATGCTTAGTTGAAATGTTAATATAAATGACTAATTCAGTCTCAAAATATTTAGTCTGAATGGTAGGACTAGAAACAAAATAATTACATAAATGCCTACCCTGTCAAATTTCGATTTATACATACATTATTTTCCCACATACATTGTTTTTCTGTCTTTGTGCATTCTTCATGTTAAATTCAATGATAAATTCCAAATTATTGTGCTAATTCAACTACAGTTTTGGCAGCCTTATCAGCATCATTTATTATTTTAAATGGATAACCAGATCCTTCAAGGATTTTTTTCGCCATAGAAGAATTAGTACCTTCCAATCTTATGACAAGAGGATACTTTGGTGGGTTCTCTTTACATGCAGCCACAATTCCATTAGCAATTGTTGCACAGTTTACAATGCCTGAAATGTGTTAAAAATAGTTAGAAATGGTATTTTTTTATATCCTTTTTTATTTTTATATAATATACTTGACCGCATGTAATTATGAGTACTATGAATTGGAAAATCACAAATAAATATTATTTTAATAAATTGAAGTTAAATCTTCGAAGCTTCTTTTCTTCGAAAACTAAGAGAAGTATCTTACTCAAGTATCAGACTTATCAAAATAATGGTGAATCAAATATATTACATACATACACACACTCACACACACACATATGTATATACATATATTAAAAAAATATGTTACTTACCAGCAAATACATTAACAAATATTGCCTTCACTTTAGGATCTGATTCCAAAATTCGTAATGCAGCTGACACTTGAGCCTGTCCTACCCCGCCACCAAGATCTAAAAAGTTTGCTGGTCTGCCTCCACTCAATGTAATAAGATCCATAGTAGCCATCGCTAGTCCTGCCCCATTGACCATACATCCAATGCTACCATCCATATCAATGTAAGTTAAGTTTAGTGATGCTGCCTCCCTCTGCACAGTGTAAATAAAAAATATAACTTTAAATATATATTTTTACCATTGACATGACATGTGACACATGTGACAATAATTATTATCAAATAAAAATTACACAACATGTTAAAGAGCAACAACACCACTATTAATAATTTATTTGTGTATGTCATGGTCAAAAATAATAAAATTAAATTTGAGTAAATAGTTTAGATCTCCATCAAAGGATTTGTTATGAACCTATCAGTTTAAAAATAGACTCAAATAAATCATTGTCAGTTATAACAAAAATATTTGTCAATAATTTAATACTTAATGTTCATAATATAGACTTGCAATTTCAGTGATAACAAAATAGATAATAGTTATAAGTAATGTATTTAAATAACCTTCATCTTTACTTTGTGTGACACAAGATTATTTATATGAAGTAATTTAAGATAAGGATGAGACAGCTGTGGAGAACAATTTCAAAATTCATACAGTTATGATGAATTTTATAATTGAGAGATAATTAATATCATTTTATAAGAGTCAGTATCTGTAAATAACCAATATTATTAACTTTCTTCAGAAAAAGATTAAAATAATTTTCGTTCTACTTGGCTTAAAGCCTAAGGAATGGCTGTTGCTTTATAACTGAGGGGTTAAAATAAGTATTATCTTAAAACAAGATCCTTAAAACATGATAATCCAAAATAATAATAATGCTTATAGCAAATGACATTAATTATTTTTACTTACTTCTCTTGGATCTACACCTGAATCATCACCAAGGGCAAATATCTCTTGTTGTCTAAATTGAGCATTGTCATCAAAATTAATTTTTGCATCAACTGCAACAACACGACCATCATCTGTTTCAACTAGAGGATTTATCTCAAGTTGTGTAGCATCAACCTTAAATAATTCTGAATTGATTATTTTCTGCTTCCCTAATTTCCAATTGGTCATCTATCTTTTAATTGTTTCTTAAAATGATGACAAATGATCTTTGAACTATAAATAATTTTAAAATTCTCATGAGGTAAATGTACACACCATTTTTTGTACAGACCAAATGAATGTTACATGATTAAATCTCTATAAACTAAAAGTGTAATGTATTAATTTCTTAAATCAATAAAGTAATAATTTAAATATTGTATATTATTTAATTCTTCATTACCTTTGTAAACATGTCCCATAGTTTTTTTATCTCTTCTGCGCACTTCTTTGCCATTGCTCCTTTGAAGTCTAAAAATTCTGCAATTTCTGTAGCCATTTTATCAGTGACTCCTTCATAAATATCGATAGGAACTGTTTTCAACAAATGAGGGGATTTTTCGGCAACTGTTTCAATGTCCATACCTCCAGCTGGAGAAGCAACTAAAGCTGCCCCATTATAAGATCTTTCCATTACAATACTAATGTAAGTTTCCCTTAGTATATTAACACTTTCTGCTACCATAACTTTATCGACCAAAATACCTTCTTTGGGTGTTTGCTTGGTAATCAATTTATGACCAATCATGTTTTTAGCTAAGGGTAATATATCTGCGAGATTCTTCGTTAAATGTACACCGCCTTTAAATCCATTGTCGAAATGACCTTTTCCTCTCCCTCCTGCTAAAATTTGAGCTTTTACGACGTACTCTTTGGCATTAAAATCCGATAAAGTTTTCGGATCAAACTTGGCGTCAAGAAGGCGAAAATTCTGGATAGAAACTTGGTGTTTTCTTAATAAATCCTTGCTATGATATTCTTGGAGATTTAAATTTCTCCTCGCATTTATTACTGGGCAATAAGTAAGCTTAAATCCCAAAATATTTAAATCTCTGAAATTTCTACTTTTATTCCAAGCAGCCATATCGGGAAAAATATCAAATAAAAGGTCGCTATTAAGCTATAAATGTCTGCTTAAATGTACTTATATAACAAACTTGATATAAATTAAAACTTAAAAAAATAAACTGATACTGAAAACTCGCACATAAGATTAACTGATATTAAGTTTATATGCGATAAACTTATTTATGTTGAATGTTGATACCGATTGCGTTCGACTACGACCTTCACTTTAAGCATAGATAAGACATATATACTAAAACTCAAACTTAGGCAGACTAGGTCGGCCGCCGCGGCCGAAGTCCGTGAAGTGAACTAGGGATGGCGAAAAAATTTCGATATATCGATTTTTTAAATATATCGATATTATTGGCCGATATATTTTGATCCGATATATCGATGTAAAAATTGAAAATCGAAATAGTATCAAAAGCGATATTTTTATTCAAACTGATTCAAAGCCGTAAAAGATGAAATGGAACGGAAAAAAACTGTGGTTTATTACTAATATATATGCGGATGCAGAGTTGCATTTTGTACTATAATTATGTATTAATATTACAATTTGCAATTTGCAGGAGTGCAAGGGGTCCCAACCAACATCTCTCGGGACCCAAGCCAACCTCGCCTGCCCGCGGTGCACTCTGCTGATCAACGAAAGAGGCTCTGGCAACCCGCCAACACGCACTGGACCAGCGCGGCGGGTTATGGTCCGTACCCCCCCCATATGATGGTGGACAAAGTAGCACGGCCCCTAGTGCCCGGGGGCTCCGGCTGCAAGGCCGGCGTTGACGGGCGTCGGTCGAGCGTCGGAGCCAGGGGTGCTAATAATCTCCGGGCGGGATGTTACCGTCAAACGACCTCTGGCTATTGCACAACTGACAACCGACGTAGGTTGTCGCTGGTGACATACAATACGCGCACGCTAAGGACAGACGAAAAGATAGCTGAGCTGGAAGAGGAAATGAGTAAGCTGCATTGGGACATAGTGGGTTTATCTGAGGTCCGAAGAGAGGGGGAGGACACGATGACCTTAAAGTCTGGCAGCTTATTCTACCACCGGGAGGGCGACCAGCAGTCCCAGGGTGGTGTCGGGTTCCTCGTTCACAGGTCCCTCGTTAACAACGTGGTATGTATCACGAGTGTGTCGAGCAGGGTGGCGTTCCTTATACTCAGAGTATCAAAGAGGTACTCGTTGAAGGTCATACAGGTCTACGCACCGACCTCGGCGCACCCGGACGATGAAGTGGAAGCTATGTATGAGGACATCAGTAGGGCCATACATACTTCCAAAACATACTTTACTGTTGTCATGGGGGATTTTAACGCGAAACTAGGCAGGAGAGGCGATGATGAGTTGAGAGTGGGGAAATTTGGATATGGAAGCAGAAATCCAAGGGGCCAGAAGTTGGCTGACTTTCTGGAGAAGGAGGAACTCTTCATGATGAACTCCTTCTTCAAGAAGCAGCTTCATAGGAAATGGACTTGGATGAGTCCCGACGGCTGCACAAAAAATGAGATTGACTTCATTTTGTCGACAAAGAGACGGATATTTAATGATGTCTCCGTGATACACAGGGTGATACACAGGGTGAAAACTGGGAGTGATCACAGAATGGTTAGAGGCACATTGAGTATTAATGTCCACCTAGAAAGGTCTCGCTTAATAAAGTCCACGCTCCGACCCACTGCAGCCCACATACAAAACCCCGAGAGCTTTCAACTCGAGCTCACAAATCGCTTCTCCATCCTGGAGGATTGCGTTTCTGTGGACGAGGTCAACAACAGGCTGGTAGAAACTGTCCACGAGGTAGGGAAAGCTTTCTTTAGACCCCGCCGGAAAGATAGACCTCAAAAATTATCAGATCATACCATCGACCTTATGGCGGAGAGACGCTCAATGACGCTGCAGACTTCCGAGGACGCTGAAGCATATCGGCAGCTCAATAGACGGATTTATCAGTCCTTGCGACACGATATCCGTAAATTTAATACTAATCGTATTAAAGATACGATAGAGCAGAATAAGGGCTCCAAAGTGTTCGCAAGAGACTTTTCTATTGGGCAGAGCCAGTTGACGAAGCTGAAGACGGAAGACGGCAGTGTAGCATCTACTAAGTCAGAGGTACTGAGAGAGATCGAAAGGTTTACTACGGACAGTTATATACCTCAAGAGCCAAGCCTGTTGACGATTTGGTTAAAGATCCAAGAGCCAAACTAACTCGACACTATACAGAAGATATCCCGGACATCAGCCTGTTCGAGATCAGGATGGCCCTCAAGCAGCTTAAGAACAACAAGGCGGCGGGTGAGGACGGAATTACATCAGAGCTTCTGAAAGCGGGTGGAACACCGGTACTGAAAGTCCTTCAGAAGCTCTTCAATTCCGTCCTGTCCGAGGGTACTACGCCCAGAACATGGAACGGAAGCATGGTGGTCCTCTTCTTCAAGAAAGGTGACAAAACCTTGCTAAAGAACTACAGGCCCATCTCGCTTCTGAGCCATGTTTATAAGCTGTTTTCGAGGGTGATCACGAATCGTCTCGCACGCAGGTTTGATGACTTCCAGCCTCCCGAACAAGCCGGTTTCCGTAAAGGCTATAGTACCATAGACCACATTCATACGCTGCGGCAAATTATACAGAAGACTGAGGAGTATAATTTGCCACTATGCTTAGCGTTTGTGGACTATGAGAAAGCCTTCGATTCGATCGAGACTTGGGCAGTGCTGCAGTCTCTTCAAAGGTGCCAAATTGACTATCGGTACATCGAAGTGTTGAAGTGCTTGTATAAAAAACGCCACCATGTCGGTCCGAGTACAGGATCAGAGCACAAAGGCTATTCCGTTGCAGAGGGGAGTGAGGCAAGGAGATGTTATCTCTCCGAAACTCTTTACCAATGCAATGGAAGACGCCTTCAAGCTCCTGGATTGGAAAGGATGTGGCATCAATATCAACGGCGAATACAACACTCACCTTCGGTTTGCCGATGACATCGTAGTCATGGCAAAGTCTTTGGAGGAGCTCAGCACAATGCTCGAAGACCTCAATAGAGTATCCCAGCGGGTGGGCCTGAAAATGAACATGGAAAAGACCAAAGTCATGTCAAATGTCCATGTGACGCCCACCCCCGTATTGTTGGGAGGCTCGCCACTCGAAGTTGTTGATAGCTATGTCTATCTGGGACAAATGGTCCAACAAGGCAAATCCAACTTCGAGAAGGAGGTCAATCGACGAATCCAGCTCGGCTGGGCTGCGTTCGGGAAATTGCGCAGCGTCTTTACGTCCAAAATACCACAGTCCTTAAAGACGAAAGTCTTTAACCAGTGCGTGCTACCAGCGATGACCTACGGTGCCGAGACGTGGTCTCTCACTATGGGCCTCATAAGGAAGCTCGCGGTCGCACAGCGCGCTATGGAAAGGGTAATGCTTGGGGTTTCTCTACGAGATCGAATCAGAAATGAGGAGATCCGTAGAAGAACTAGAGTTACCGACATAGCAGAGCGAGTCAGCAGGCTGAAGTGGCAGTGGGCAGGGCACATAGCTCGAAGAACCGATGGCCGTTGGGGCAAAAAGGTTCTCGAGTGGAGACCACGTGACGGCAAAAACGCAGCGTAGGAAGGCCTCCCACAAGGTGGACGGACGACCTAGCCAAGATCGCAGGGACGCGTTGGATGCAGGCCGCTAACGACCGGTCGAAGTGGAAGTCAATGGGGGAGGCCTATGTTCAGCAGTGGACGTCCTACGGCTGATATGATGATGATGATGATGATGATTACAATTTGATGCTTCGTACTAACCTTATCTTAGGTACAACGTGGTAATATAGAGGTATAGAGGTGTTACAAATCATTAATATCGAACTACATATTATATTAATTTATAAATAGCATACAAAATATTAATATTACTTTAATTTAGTATGTAAATAAAGTTAACAAAAAATTAATTATAATCAAATTCTCAATAATTAAATGTCACATAACATAATATCGAGTTTTCATAAAAAAATATTTGACGTCATAAAAATTATTATCATTCAACCACATAATTAACTTCTCTAAATTGTCGTTCAGCATTTTCATGTCAATCAAACAACTATTACTAAATTCTGTTGATCTAGGCCTGTCTTATAATACAAGTCTCATTACTAACTTCGTTTTAAATAATTCTTTGTTTTTTACAAAGTCACATGTTTTTAATTAGTTATATTTTATTCGATTCAGGGCTAAAGAAACTGATTTATCTTACTAAATCGCTGTTTATATTTTTTTGTAATGAAGGTATTGATAAATAACATACCTAGAAATTTAGATTATTGAAAGAAATTTGATTGAAATTAATAAATTATTAACGTTTTATAAAAATTTCTCATTCATTTAAATAATGTGAATTTGGTATAAAAATAACTATTACTATTGAATCAGACTGAACTAAATACATTATTTTTTCTTAAAACTGAAAATTTTCCCGATATATCGATATTTTTTTCGACATATCGATGCCAATATTAATATTTTTATAAATATCGATATTTATTTCGACTTTCGGTAGACCCGTAGAGTCAATCGTGAATCCACTCCAAGTGCTACCAACTCTCGAAAATATTTGTCCGAAATTAATATCAACCGAAGAACCTAGAATCCCCTAAAATATTATTATTAAAAAATTGAATTTATTTAATTATTAAAAAAACGCAAAGATTTACGCCTAAATCGTGGTGATCAGTTCGATCCTAATTCCGATCCTAACAATCAAATCGATCAAATCAACGAAGCCCGTATCAGTGTTGGATTGAGACACGATGAAAAAAATAGTGCAAAAAATTTAAAATGATAGTATTTTAAAATATGTAGAAAAAAAGTGATAGTATTCGTAAGAAAATTATAGTACTTTTGATTTAACAGTCATTATTTTACTCCTATTCCAAGTTTATAAGTTCTTCAATACTAGTTTCATCCTTACAAATTAATCTTATTAACAGTAGTAACAGTCCTCAGTAGGATTAAAACCAGTAAAATTCCCATTTTTGTGTCCACATAATAATTTATCCCCACATAATTATAAAATTCTCCTGGCCAATATGTCGGCGCCCATGGCTCGTATCCGCCAATCATGTAACATTTATATTTTTGAATTATGAATTATTTTATAATTAATATACTGACGGACCACAAAAAACTCGCGAACCTTTATTCATATTAATTTAATAGAAAAAAAATTGGTGTATTTTGTATTATAATTCATATAGCAAAACCATGACAGTATTGATTCTAAGTTCAATGTATCGAGTACATTTATTAACGACTGTACACTACATTCCTATTGTCAGCTGCCAAAGTTATTATCCTTATTTTATTTGACAGAACCAGATCATAAAATATGATTATTCTAATAAAACGTCTTCGGATTTCTCCATACAGACTCCCAATCATCTAAGTAAAAGTGTTTATAATTATCATTGTTGGTACAAAAGTCTATTTTTACAGATTGTACTGTACAAATAATCAGCTTTGTTAAAATCGTGTAAATTGGCTATCGTTAAAAATTTTGTGATCGTACGTTTTGAGTCCACAAAGTACTTATTTACGTATACGATAAATATAATGGTTTTAATATTTTCCACAAAATGTATTTACTAATAACTATCATTTATGGAAATATATTAAAATTTAAACCAAACAAAGGCAGCACTAGCAACCAAGGTCAAACTCCCACTAGTAGTAGTTTAGGGTATATTTATAGCGGTGTATGTTAAAAGTACTACTAGCAAGGAAATACAAATTTTGATTTTGTCTACTTTCGGTGGTAGTCCCAATGACAATTTATTCCGATCGTTTTACTCTTCTCTGGGGTGATATCAAACCATCTGCCTACGGCATTTGGTACAGATTATAAGCGGCTAATAATCCATGTCATCGGCGTATAGTGCCAAGTCGATCTGAGTGGTCCTAAACATGTTGCAGGGAATACAATTTAGGGGATATGGCTGATCCATGTGCCGAATATGCTCCGTAATGTGTACTTGAAGAACGTTTTTATGTCTGGTTTTAAACCCGAATTGCTTGTTGGGAATGAAATTTAAAAATCGAACTCATTTTTTAATCCTTGAGATAAATAATACAAAACCTAGATAATAGGTTTTATTAAGCAGAAAATATAAATGTGATATGTGATATCGATTGTGACAGTAATAAAGAACATTCAAAAGAATAATTTTAAAATTTACATTTATGGCAAATGTCCATATATTATATCACCTTGCTAGGATAATTCGTTCATAAACTCAGAAATGGCGTTGTCTTTTATCACATTTTTTATTATCAAGTATTTTACCACAAGATAAATATTGGTCACTAACCAAATAACTACAAAATAATCCTACAAAACGGTTTTACGATATTTAATCAGCTTTCATGTCTTTTTTATTTAAATATTGTGGTAACATTTTTTTAGTATTGCCAACATGACGTTTCCTATGTCTTCGTAATGCGACTAACTTCCTTTTTCTCGTGTACTTTTGACAACACGAGGTTATAATTTCTGTTTAGCCTAAAAGTATGTGTTATTTTTGTTAAATTAGTAATTTTATTTTTCATATAAGATGTATATTGCTATAAAAGTTTTTATGTTTGTTTAAGGAGCTAAATATGGCCGAAGAAAATTGGAACGAGGATAGCATTGAAGCGGGCAGCATGGCTGTGGACTCCATGCCACTACCCCAGCCGGCTGACATTCCTGAAATTAAACTTTTCGGGAGATGGAGCTGTTATGATGTACAGGTTTCAGATATGTCTCTCCAAGATTATATTTCTGTCAAAGAAAAATACGCTAAATACCTGCCGCATTCCGCTGGTAGGTACGCGCACAAGCGTTTCCGAAAAGCTCAATGCCCAATCGTTGAGCGTCTTACAAACTCGTTGATGATGCATGGACGCAACAATGGCAAGAAACTAATGGCTGTTCGTATTGTGAAACATGCTTTTGAAATTATTCACCTTTTGACTGGAGAGAATCCACTTCAGGTACTGGTTACCGCTATCATTAATTCTGGACCCCGTGAAGATTCTACTAGGATTGGTCGTGCTGGTACTGTCCGTCGTCAAGCTGTTGACGTTTCACCCCTTCGCCGTGTTAACCAAGCTATCTGGTTATTGTGCACTGGTGCTCGGGAAGCAGCCTTCAGAAATATTAAGACCATCGCTGAATGTGTTGCAGATGAGCTCATTAATGCTGCTAAGGGTTCATCAAACTCATATGCCATCAAGAAAAAGGATGAATTGGAGCGTGTTGCTAAATCCAACCGTTAATTTTTTAAGGCTGGGTCAATAAATTTAAAAATTAATATGCTTTTTATTCATTTTTATTTACAAAAAAACTAGGTGCTAAGGGCAATATAGAGTAAATAATTTATAGAATACTTCACTCATGCATCAATGCAATCTTATTACACACTTTGCTTCACATATTATGGTTCTAAACTCTATCTATATAGTAAAGATAATAAAAAGTAGATTATTATTAATAACTTAAAACAAATTGTTATATTTTTCAAGAAATTTTAATTTTTTTTTATTTTGTATATAATTGTGTACCTATGTATTGAATCCTATATTTTTTACTATTTTGTTTAGACATTAATGCCCATTTTCACCACAATACCCTTATACTCTCCCTTACTAAGAGTGCCCTAATCAAAGGCAGCAGACCATCACCAAAATTAATTTTCATCAAATTAGGGATAGCACTTAAGTCTGAATAATAAGGGTTCTGCTCACCTAAAGGTAACCCACCCTTCAGTAGTGAAGAAAATGCAACTAGCATTTAAATTTTTTTGGGAGTTCATTAAAGTTAGGGATTGATGGTGAAAACAGGCAAGTACTAAACTTTTACATATATGTTGGAGTATATAAGGATTTTAAATACGGAAAGGGTTTAAAATGATGCAACTAGATAGTTAACTTCGGACGATTCTTACTATGTATTAAAACGAATGACAACGAGGGTAAATAATAAAACATAAGGAGGATTAACAACCTGTCTTAAAATTAACTTAATCTAACACTCGAAAACATTGCCTGGACGAAAGAAGCAGGCGCTTTAACACATAGAAACCAAATCATTTTCAAAAAGTTTTTGAATATATGACTCTAAATGTTAACAAATATCATTTGAGTATTTTTAATCAAGGGTATCAGGTACGTCACTGCATTTGAGTGAATACAGCAGCCTATGAATATCTATTATTTATGTTTCCTTATGTGTTTTCATCCTATGAAAGGGTTGGTCCCATTTAAAAAAGATTAAATAACATTTGAATTGACCAGTGGCCTTCTTGAATTTAAGTTACAATTTTCAAGAAAATAGATTTTATTTATGCCTTATTTAGCTGTTTAGAACTAGTTTTTTAATAAATTACAAAAAACAATAAACATTTAAGGTGCCTTTTTTATGTGAGAAGGTAGCAAGTGAGCTGGTGTTTCACCTGATATAAAATGATAACCGCCACCCATGGATATTTGCAACACCCATAGGGTTGCGGATGCAATGCCACCTTTTTGAAGTGAAACTTCTTTATCGGGGTTGGAAAAAAAATTAGTGTAACATTTTTGCGTTACGCGCCATCTTGTTGTTGTGGTTTTAATAGTTGACGCTACATGGCGTTACATATATGCATATTAAAGTGATCAACAAAATCAAAGGGTTTATTTTAATTCTAATTCTAAAATGTAAACAATATATTTCGTATCTCAGTTACCATAAGCCATTAATAGCACAAATATATAATAACGACATCAATGATAGTAATAATTCTATTACAATTAATGAAATTCAATAATAATATTTGTAGTAATGACAGTGCTAGCTCTACTACTTCAGAGCACGACACTGTAGAGACTTCCTCTTCTCCAGAGGCAGGCACCGCCCACCGTGACCTGACTGCGCCTTCCACCGAAGACACAATCTGAAGCTGACCGATGATGCTCTTCGAAGCCTCGATCAGCTCCTGGAACTTGCAGTTGCGACGTCGATCCAACGTCCGCAAGTTCGGTTTTCCAAAAAAAACTTAACTCGCAACACTCGCGCGCGAGTTGAATGTCTGCCTTCTACTCACTACTTCACTATTCGGCAACGAAGGACGCAAGTTGCAAGTTTTTTAATCAATTTTTTTTTGGAACTCAGTACGCAGAATCGCATCGTATGCAATGTTCCACAATAATGGACCCAATACTGAACAATGAGCCACAATACATCTCCCTCCGGATTCTTGTAATGTCTTGGTTTGTGTACAGAACGTACCAGTCGTGTAAATAATCTGCTACAATACTTTGGAGCTATTGTGGCACATTGTTCGTCATTAACCCTTCCAGAATAGCACCTCAAGCCAGAGTCGAAAGCGTTGACAATATCAAGACTAATCGCCAACGCTATCCTATCTTAAGATATTGAACGCTTCTTTCGGAAGCCAAACTGGTTTTTGGAGATGTTCATTGAGGCGGGAAGCAATGATTCTTTAAAAAATCTTGTCAACTTACTCTAACAGATAAATCGGGCGGTACGCAGAAGGAGAATTTGAATCTCTACCTTCCTTCTTCAAGAGGAATTTGGCCTCCTTCCAGGAAAATATTTACCAACCTGGCCAAACGCAACCGTTCGGTAAATTGTTCTCAAAATCAACTCGATCGATATTATTACGGACCCAATGCAGAATAATCTGGCGGGGCAGCCAGGCAACCTTATGTCTTGTCTAGGTTACAAAAAGTCAAATCCTACAATTTCAGTATTTATATATCTTATCCATAGATTATACACTTATATATTGAGAGGTCTTATCTATGCAATATGACAATCCTTCATTAGTTTGAGATTTGTCATTTGTCAAAAGCGAAACTCGCTATAAAATAAATCGTTAGGTTTGTTTTAACTATTTATTCTATGGAACCTAAAGTGAACTAAGTTTTAAATGAATATTTGAAGTATATATATCATAATATAGTACTATCACATTCAAAATGATACACAGTTTATTTATTATAAATCCATCTGGGTAAGCATTGTACACGTTGAAAATTTTTACGATATTTTTTTTTTAGTTTTAATGGTATTTCAGGCGTAGGCTGTTGTACAGGTTTTAATTTTTTTATTTCAGTGATGTTTTTCTCGAGAAACACTGGCGGAGTGTTATTCCCAGATCAGTATGTGATTATTATTTAGAAGCTCAACGAGGGTCTCCAAACGTGAGTAAAAGAATTTAAGCAAGCCTATAAGGTGAAATGTATAAATTTACTCATATCACAGCCGCATAATTTGACCAATTATTTTCAATAAATATCAATTTTGAAGTAACAAATTTTGTAAGTTTTTATGGGATTTAGTTAAATAAAAATTATGAATTTAAACTTTAATACAAAGTAAATGTGTTTAAAAACTTGTGAAGTAAAGTTAAATTTTAATATTCAAATTAAATAATTTACTTAAAATAATAAAGTTAAAGGAACTTAAGGATTTTTGAATTATTACAGGATGTTCCGCCAGTGCTTGCAGCTCCCCATCACTATTTAATATCAATTCAAAGAGGTGGAGTGGCTCTGGTCGCAGTCAGTAAGCAAGAGGTTGCACCGCTTTTTGTTATAGAGTTTCTGCACAGGGTTGTTGACACATTTCAGGTAAAAAATAATAATTAGATATGTAAATACTTAGAAACCAGTTGTTAAATAGTAACAATCATAAATGATGTTTAATTATCTATATGAAAGTTATATATTTACTTTATGTATTCTATAAACCTTGAAAAGTATGAGCACTGCAGTTGTTGAATGGTTTTCTAATGCCTCAAAAGCAATCTAGATCTCAATATTTGTACATCCCGTGTTTTTGCCGGTCATTTAAATTTTAAGATTTTATTATTAATTTCTCTATAATTTTTTAAATTTGAAAATGTGTATATTTAATACCATTTATAAATGATCACTATTTTGCTTTGGCCTTATTTTTTATTACATATAATTACAATTTGTGTGTTACAAAATGTTATGATTCAGAAGAGATCAGTTTAAGATTATGATGACTATTAATTTTTGTTTCAGGACTATTTTTCAGATTGTACAGAAACTATTATTAAAGAAAACTATGTTGTAGTTTATGAGGTAAATATTGTTAAAGTGTATAATGTATGAATATTTAAATAGAAATATCAGATTAAAATCAAATTTAAATTGAAGAAAACCTTAAAACGAGAAAGTTAAAAAGTTATATATTTAAAGCAATTTATTTGTTTAATACAAATAAATTGGTTTATTTTTAACCTACATTGTTTTGCGCTCATTTGGTACCCAAATTGTTGCAATTATGATTACTACCTTATATGGCAGCCAGTTTCAATATTTGTTTTATTTGTGTTTCTGTGTGTTTGGCCATATTTACATGGGTATTGGTTATCACAGAACAACCAAAAGGCTAATTTCTACCATAAAATGCCCGACCTAATTTAAAAAATTATCTTGTTTAATATTCTTTATGCGGTGGTGAAAAATTTTAACTGAAGCAAAATTTCTTTTTCAGTTGTTGGATGAGATGTTGGACAATGGTTTTCCTTTGGCTACAGAAAGCAATATTCTAAAAGAATTGATAAAACCCCCTAATATTCTTAGAACAATTGCGAACACTGTCACTGGAAAGTCTAAGTAAATAACATGTACCACTATCTTCATTTCATAATTGTTACATTGTTTTATTATTCCCTATTCTTTTTTTTACAGTGTTTCATCAATATTGCCTTCCGGTCAATTATCAAATGTTCCTTGGCGTCGGTCTGGTGTAAAGTATGCTAATAATGAAGCATATTTTGATGTTGTAGAAGAAGTTGATGCAATTATAGATAAAAGCGGGGCCACAGTTTCTGCTGAAATTCAGGGATATGTATGTTCATTACAAGGGATAGTTAGACATACAGTGTAAACTCTAAAAACATAATAATAACTCTAATAAACAGGAAGTACTGCCTTGCTCTAGCCAGGACACCAAGCTTTTAAAACCCAGTTTGGCTTTCTCTTCCAAGTGACTGCGAAATTAAATGCTGCACAATATGTCAAGTCCAAACAATCCAATCGGGTCTGCAGTAAGAAGGGGGAGTCACCTCAAAAAAAAAAAGACCCGATGAAGGGCTTCTTTGTAATACATGCTCAAACATGTCTTCTAAGGGTTAAATTGGACTAGATTTAGTCGGCCCCTTTCTGTGTTTTTTTTTAAACTGAGGGATATTGTATATCATTGTATAGATAACAAGGTAAACCAACCAAAATCAAATTTGGACTATTTGAAGAGTATGCTGTTAAATCACATGTTGTTATAAAGACTACACTGTACATTAAATATGTACTATGTTTATTTAGTATCCTTGGATTTTTATTTTTATTTTTTCATTAACAGATTGACTGCTGCATTAAACTTAGTGGCATGCCAGATTTAACACTTACTTTTGTCAATCCAAGATTGTTTGATGATGTATCATTTCATCCATGTGTGAGATTCAAAAGATGGGAGGTAATGTATTTAGTAATTATAATAAATTAAATCAACCTACATTGTTTGTCAGTTAATATTTGAAATTTGTTTGCAGTCTGAAAGGATATTATCATTTATACCACCTGATGGTAACTTCCGTTTGATGTCTTATCACATTGGATCACAAAGTGTCGTCGCTATTCCGATATATGTACGTCATAGTCTTACTTTAAGATCAAATGGTGATCAAGGAAGACTAGATTTAACTGTAGGGCCTAAGCAAACAATGGGCAGAACCTTAGAAAGTAAGTACTTTCCTCTCTAATGATAGTACATGAACAAATTCAAGGGATTCAATAGAATACCTATTCATAATAGGTTCATATTTCATATATTGCTTTCACTTGCAGCTTACATGAATTGTCAGGCTGGTCCGGGGAAGTACCACGGCTTCACTTAATTTCACCCATAAAAAATTAAGTAAATGAAGTAAAGTAACAGCTTATACATGTCCCACTGCCGGGTAAAGGCCTCCTGTATACTGAGGGTATCAGGGCATATTTCATCAGGCGGCCCCACTGCGGATTGGCGGACTTCCCATACTTTCGAAATTTTTTTTGTTATTATTTCTAAAATATGCAGGTTTCCTCACCATTTCAAAACCATTTAAGATAGATTTAAAAATAGATTTTAATGTTTAATGTAGACCTATAATAAAATGTATGATCATGCATTATAATATTCATATTTATTCAAACCATCTTGACATATAAAATAATTTCTTAAATTTATGTGAATAAAATGTATAAAATCCGTAAAGCACTTAATTAAAATATTTATTTACATTTTCAGATGTAGCATTAGAGATCTGTATGCCCAAATGCGTGTTGAATTGTTCCCTGACAGCAAATCAAGGGAAATATTCATATGATCCCGTCAGTAAGGTGTTGTTATGGGACATAGGAAAAATTGAGCTTCCAAAGCTACCCAATATAAGAGGATCTGTAAGTTTGAATATATTACTTCAATATGACCTGTTAATTAATAATAAGTTCCGCCTTTTTAAGGAAGGCTATAGTTAGTTAGAAAGGCGGTCTTTTTCCGCAGTTATTTTATGACTGCAATTTTTTAGGTGGGCGTAAGGACTCAGTATATAAGTAAGCACAATTATAAATGACGTATTATAATACACCTCAATGTATTGATGTCTCAATCTGCAACTTCATTCCGAGATGTCAATTTTCGCTTTAGTTTTGAGATTTGTTAATACTCCCCTCGACACGTCATTGTATTTATTGAAAGATAGACTAGTGAATGCGAGTGATAGGGTAATGCTTGGGGTTTCTCTACGAGATCGAATCAGAAATGAGGAGATCCGTAGAAGAACTAGAGTTACCGAAATAGCAGAGCGAGTCAGCAGGCTGAAGTGGCAGTGGGCAGGGCGCATAGCTCGAAGAACCGATGGCCGTTGGGGCAAAAAGGTTCTCGAGTGGAGACCACGTGACGGCAAACGCAGCGTAGGAAGGCCTCCCACAAGGTGGACGGACGACCTAGCCAAGATCGCAGGGACGCGTTGGATGGAGGCCGCTACCGACCGGTCGAAGTGGAAGTCAATGGGGGAGGCCTATGTTCAGCAGTGGACGTCCTACGGCTGATATGATGATGATGAGACTAGTGAAAACATTGATCAGTAATTGATCAATGTTTTCACTAGTCTATCTAGTCGTGATTTAAATATGCTTAAATATTTAGTTCTAACTAAAAGATGTGCCGATATGATATAATATTCTCAAACTACAATAATTATGGTGACTATTTAACTAGAAATTGATTCAGTTATTAGTTAAGTCATAAACAACTTATTCACACGCTTAGCCAAGACTGGCTTTAGCTTGCTGAGAGCTAATCGACGTCTCCGAATGCGGCTGTTACTTTCCAAACTGCAAACTTGATCGTCGTATCTTTGAAATGCGACTGATCATCGGAAACTAATTGTCAATTAAATAAGAGTGCATTTCTGTACATATTACTTGTGAACCCTTTAGTTTTGCAGCAATATTCCGAACTGTGGACAAGTTCGATTTAGTGATGTGACTTCGTTACGTTTCCAGGTGTCAGTGGCGACGGGCGCCGACACATCTGGGGCGAATCCTAGCGTGAATGTCCACTTCACGATACCGCAGCTAGCGGTCAGCGGACTGCGGGTGAGCCGACTCGATATGTACGGCGCCAAATACAAGCCGTTCAAGGGCGTCAAGTACATCACTAAAGCGGGCAAATTCCACGTGAGAATGTGATTTGGGCCGAGAGTCGACCCACCGCGCATGTTAACGGAGCTAATCTAGCGGCGGCGTCGGCAGTGAAGGACTCTTTCTCTTCTCATGTTGCCAACTTGGTTATGAACATTACGTATGGAAATACTAGTTAATGAATCTAGTGAATAAAAAATATCTTCCGTATAGCGTCTATGTTGAGTTATTCTGTGTATTAGTTTATACAGTAGTCTCTGGCGATGTTGTAGAATGTCATATAATTAACTTGAATATTTTGTTATTTTGCTGAGCAATTGTTTTTCAATAATAGGTTAATTAATATTATAAATAAGTAGTATGTATACATTATAAAGACAACATTTAAAGTGTAAATACGTAAATATTATTGTATATTTGTGTTTAATTTTAATCATCGTAAACATTAAAAGTAAATAATCAGCACAAAGCATATTTATTTCGCACGTAATGTCAATCTTGAATTTAAATTTTTTGTACGAATCAAGTTGTATGTCTTAAGAAATATTTTTTGGATAGCGTAATAATTTTCACAAATTATGTTTCGGAATTCAGTTTTCTTTTAAATCTGTTCTCAGAGTGTAGTAAGTTTTTACATTGATTTATAGAAATGGGAAGTTCCATATTAGTGGATTATGTACCCGGCCATAGGTGTTCCCTAAATAGCACTAATTCCCAAAAGATCAATATGTATGATCAAGGGGTATATACCCCACATTAAAGGGCCTCTTTTGCGAATTAGGATTACTATTCAAAGACAAAAAACAATAAATGAAGTTCTCGCTATTTCAACATCTATATTTACTATAGATTACATATATACTGCTGATCAAGAATTCCCTAGGACCAAAAGAATAGAAATCTTGTTGGCCAAGCACCATAATCGTTGTTATCTCCGATATTAGTTATCAGTTTCCCGTTGCGTAACATACGTATTAGTAATATAAAAATAATTTATGCAAAGTTTATTTCGTTCGTTATAAATTAGCATATGATTAAAGCTAAGTTTAAAAAAATATAATGTATCATAATAAGCTTAATTAAAAGTTTACTTAATAATTTTAAAGGTAGGAGGTACCCATATATTATCTGATACATGATAAATAAATATTACTTTTTATATAATATCGCTGTTTGATTGCAAGCTTTGTAGTATCTGTTCGTCTCATAATACGCACTGTAACGTACTAAAACACATGTCTTTAGTACGTTACAGTACTATGCGGTAAATATTGTAAGTCCACTCTTGGAAAGAGACAATCGGTTAATTTCGGCTTCGTAGTTGCAGAACGGTATCTCTCTCGCACGAATAGTAGCGCGGTAATATTTACTCCGGGCCTGTCGTGTGTAACTTAAGGCGAAGGTTTGGTCGCAAAAATAATACTCTAATCTTGCGGCCCTAATACCAGCTCTTTCCATTTTATCGCATTCAACATGGGCTCGAATAATCAAGGACCAATTTTTCCCGTTCAAATCGGTCTTTGGCCTTGCAGTGAGATAAAATTCACTTTGCCTCTTTGTCGTATTCACCATAGAGGGCATTGTTCGTAACAATACCTGTTGCCGAATATCTCCATGGTAAAACGCAGCAAAACGATCAATACCATCGACACCACCTTGATGTCTGTTTATCATCGCGTTCTTTTCAAGAAACCCTGCAACGTACAACTTTATGGAATCAATTTCCGCCAGCTCTATTTCCTGATCGATACGACTTGAGACCTTCAAGAATGTAGATGGCGGTTCTCACCGCCCCCAGCCACCGATTAGCCAAAAACACAGTCGACGGCCATCGGGGTCCCGGTCCGAACCGCAACCTCCATGGCCCTTAGATCACATACCATAGTTAAACGCACATGCGCGGCCCTACCCAAACCGGTGGGTTCTGGCTAGCTATTTTTTTTTCGTGGGAAAAATCCTTTATGGATCCCCTACCACTGAATCGGGGGAGTGGCAGGGGTATGTGGGAGTCCCGATGAGAAACGGGTACCCACTAAAAAACCCACGTTGGGGTTCTGGCTAGCCTACCGGGTCTGTGTCAGATGAAGCTTTAATAGTCTCGGGATTGAAAGCAAAAACATCAGTTAATACAAGAATACAAGAAGAATGTAGATTATTTGTTCATTAAACACCAAAGATGGACCCGGTGATCACAATCAGACAGTCCGCTTGCTCGTTTGTGATCTTGTCATACAAAAAAATACTAATTCTCGCTTTGTTCCATAATATTAAAACATTTACACGACCATTGACATCTGCTACAGGATGACAGATGCGTTAACAACCTTTTGAAAATTGGGTTCCGGCTACCTCGCTCACCAGAAGAAACGCAAAAGTATTTGTCATACTTCCACTTTACGCTTGTTTTCTGTGAGGTCGTGGTACTTACCCGGACGGGCCTGCCCATTCGTGCAACAGCCGAGGCTGCTGCGTGGCCCTACCACCGTAAAGCATCGGCATCCTCGTTATAGTATAGCTGTAGTAGAAACTTTAGGAAATAGTTAATGGTTGGGCCATTGGCACGTTTCGGTCTGTGAACTTAAGACGAAGTTAATGTTTAACACTCGTGCCACTGCTTTGACTGTTATGTGCTGAGTGTTATGCATAAAGCCTCTTTTGTAAAGCGGGTATTAAAGTATTGCCTACCACGCGGCTCTATTGCGGACTTACGGACTTCACATATCGTCAAAATATTTTTTTTTGTTATACTTTCGAAAATATGCAAGTTTCCTTCGATGTTTTCCTTCACGGCTGAACACGTGATAAGTCAGCTCTTAAAATCAACAATTTCATTGGTGCCGGCACCGGGCATCAGGTTGCTCGACTATATTGAATTAAGAGTGAGCGCCCGGACAAAGAGCTATTTATATAATATATATGATCGACTCTTTTCATCGCTTAGGTGCATAACCTCAAAGTTGTACTAGAATTATTTGTTATCTTGGAAAAATTGTACATCAGTTATAACTTTGAGAAAGTGGTCCAGGATACGATTCTCTATACTAAAGCAAGTATCGAAACGTATGCACGGACGGTAGGATTACTACAAAAGCTCAACGTCCCTTATAGACCAGGGTCGATAATTTTTAAAACAAAAAGAAAATAATAGTAGGATAAAACGCATTGAAAAATACGAAAAATATTTACGGGCCATCTGAGGTCGAGGAGTGGAAGGGAGTGAGTTTTTAAGCAAACCACCTTATTTTTTTAATTCAGCATCGAAAAAACACCCTTATTTTCAATAGAAAATTCTCACGTCAAAATAATATCAGCTTTTTTGAAAAAGTCGGTAGGCTTTTTGTTCGTTAAAATCGCAACTTTCAGATGGTGTAAAAATATTTAAACATAATGGAAAATGTTCTCAGAAAATGCAAACATGAATATTGTAAAAAAGTTGATTTATTCAATTCTACATTTATGTCTTAGAAAATCTCATCAAAGTTTATTTCCTTCACATTCTTTATTTTCTATCTAGAATATAATAATTCTTTATTTTATCTTTAGAGCTTTGTTAGTGTTCAATAGAGATGGGTCGTATCGCTTTTTCTGAGTACCGTATCTGAATCAGATTTCGAAACTATGTATTTTAATATCTAGATATTTTACGGTCCCGTATCCACCTTGAATTCTAAAAAAAAAAAAAAAAAGAGTATTTAAAAGTTGATTCATTCTATGTACATAATTTTCCTGATATTTAAAACTTAACTTATTTACAATTATGTGTGGGTTAATAATTATTTAGATTCCTCCGGGTTTAAATTCACGTTTACGAACGTAAGCTGTTTGACTTTAATCGTCGAAAGCAGAGATAAGACATTTATACTGGTGGTCGAAAGTCTTGTTCGACGATCATTGTACCTTTAAATAACTAAAGCTATTACCAGTGATACCAACTGTTCAAAACGAATACTTCTAAATAAATTCGAAAACCCACTCAAATTGACTAAATTCAAAAAACTTACTGAATTTAAAATCACGATTTTTTTATACTATTAAGGTAAAATTAAAACATTACCTGATAAAATTAAAAATTTCATTAAAAATAGAAATTGAAGTAATATAAAAATGATTTATTTTAACATCTTATATATCGCTTAACAATTGACTTTAACGATATATAAAATTTTTAAACACGCAATCATGAGTGACAATATCTTTATAATTTGTGTAAGTTATAATACATTCAGTATTATAACTTAGGGCGGAAGAATTTAAAATATACACACAACGCACATAAGCCTTGGTCTGATTTCCACCCAAGCAGCACAGCACTATTAAATTATATTTTTCTTTTTGTGTACTTTTATTTTTTTCCAAAAATATGAATAAAATTTAACTAATAAAAATATTCACAAAAAATTTACCTCCTAAAAAATTTCCATTTATATTTTTCTTCCTTAATTTAGGCAGAAAATTCGTAAGTAGTAAGTTGGCATCCCTTACTATTACGTGCTTGGTACCAATGCAATCCAGCTCAAGACTAAACAAAATTTAAAGACATCGTTAATACCGTAATTCGTATTTAAATGCAACAGAGATTTTTTCCATGCTGTTAAGATTCAAAATTACTTAACTGCGCGCTTTGTCGCCCGTTACGGCTCAAGGCTAAACAAAACAATAGAAATATAATAATATCGTTGTAGTAATCTTTGATACCATGATTAGTATTTAATTAAAACGGATCTTATTTGCATGGTGTTAAAATTCAAAATTACTTAACTTATTCATAATATCTGTTTAAAAATCTGATATTGTGCCTTGCTTGCCGTACTGCTCTAACTAGTGTAATATTTGTATCTCACGCGCTTTGTCGCTCAAAATCTGTTTAAAAATCTGATATCGTGCATTGCTTGCCGTCCCGCTCTAACTAGTGAGTATTTATATCTCACGCGCTTTGTCGCTCGATATCTGATATCGTGCATTGCTTGCCGTCCCGCTCTAACTAGTGAGTATTTATATCTCACGCGCTTTGTTGCTCGATATCTGATATCGTGCATTGCTTGCCG